TGGGACATGTTTCAGCATCAAAATGAATAATGGTACTAATGGATTACAACCCACTGACTGAAACAGAAAATGATATAAATAATTCATATGTAAAGGAATGTAAGAAAAGAAAGCACCCCTTCACAGTAGCATGCCCACTAATAATACATGTAGATGCAATAATGGAAGTAGAAAGATTACGTTGGCAATTATTACATATTGTTGATTCACAGAGTATTTGTCAATGGATACTAAGCTTGGTAGATGGAGGTTTGATGGGGAACAGGATTATCAGAGTAGTTTCAAAGTATATCCCCAGAAAATAACTCATTAATTACAAAAGTGAACAATGGAGACTTTACAGTGGAGAACACTGACAGACACCACTGTGACCAGGTGATCAAGGTTAGCGTCATCAATAGTGAGACAGGCTGATACCATGTGCCTCCTGATGTGATACACTGAGAAGAACACAGCACAGTCTTCTTTGTGTAGTATTCCGGCCAACAATTATGAATCTAGACATGAGGAAACACCAGATGCATCCAGGTTTAGGGGCATCCTAAGGAACCAAAGGCCTGTTCCCCCCTTTTTTAAAGATTTCATTTTGGGGGTGCCTGAGTGACTCAGTTGGTTAAGCATCTGACTCTTGGTTTTGGCTCAGGTCATGATCTCATGGTTTGTGGGTTCGAGCCCTGTGTTAGTCTCCATACTGACAATGCCAGAGCCTTCTTGGGATTCTCTCTTTCCCTCCCCTACCTCTCTCTCTGCCCTTCCCCCACTTGCACATGCGTGCTCTCTCTTTCTCAAAAATAAATACACTTGTGGCACCTGGTGGCTCAGTTGGTTAAGCAACTAACTCTTGATTTTAGCTCAGGTCATGATCTTGTGGTTCATGAGTTTGAGCCCCATGGTGGTCTCCATGCTAACGGCACAGAGCATGCTTGGGATTTTCTCTCTCTGCCCCTCTCCTACTCTCTCTTTCTTAAAATAAATAAATAAGCATTTTTAAAAATTTTGTTTTTAAGTAATCTCTACACTCAATGTAGGGCTCAAATTTACAACCCTGAGGTCAAGAGTTGCATGCTCTACCAAATGAGCCTGAGCCAGTCAAGAGCCCCCAAAGGTCTGTACTCTTTATCTATTTTTTATTTATTTAATGTTTATTTATTTTTGAGAGAGACAGAGTGCAAGCTGGGGAGGGGCAGAGAGAGGGAGACACAGAATCTGAAACAGGCTCCAGGCTCTGAGCTGTCAGCACAGAGCCCCACATGGGGCTTGAACCCATGAACCATGAGATCATGACCTGAGCTGAAGTTGGAAGCTTACCTGACTGAGCCACCCAAGTGCTCCAGGTCTGTACTCTTTAAAATTGTCAAGGTCATGAAATATATGGAAAGAGTGCAGAAATGTTCCAGATTAAAGTAAATCAAAGAGATACAATAAGAAAATGTAATGCATGATTCCGGATTTGGATTCTGGGCTAGAAAGGAAAAGAAGACATTGGGCAGCTGGTCAAACTTGAATGCCCTCTGTGGATTGGATGGTCACGTTCTATCAATGTTAATTTCCTGATTGGGAGGGTTGCACAAAGGTTATAGAACAGAGTACTTGTTTGCTGATATATTTAAGGGGGAAATGGCATCAGGTCTGCAACTTTGTCTGAGATCAGAAAAGAAGTAATGATAATGAGGGGGAGGGGTAATGACAAATGTTAACAATTGCAGAATCTGATTTTAGGAAGTAAGAGAGTCCTTTGTACTCTTCCTGCAACTTTTCTGTATGTTTGCGATTATTACAAAATAAATTATATTTTTAAAATAAGGCCAAGAACTCTTTCAGAAGAATAAAGTTCTTCCTTTTACCCTACAAACATGCTTAAATCTCTTCTGAACAAAGCAAAACCAAAACAAAACAAAATAACGAAGCTAGCAGCTACTTGCTGTTGCCACTTGCTCCCTGCTGGGCATCAGGATGTTGAGGAAATACCACTGAGCCTGGTGTCAGGAAGCCTCTGTTGGAGGCTGGCTCAACACTCCCTAACTATGTGACTTTGACTAAATCATTTAACCTCTCTGAGCCTCAGTTTCTTCATGAGGTAACAATAGTAGCTCTTACAGAGCTGCCATGGAGATCAAGGGAGAGAAGGATATGAAAGCAGGTTATAAATTATACTGTGTTTGACAAATACTAACTGTAGGTGGTCCCTCACTTTAACCCCTGGTGATACAGGACTATTGCCTTCACACCTGCTAGAATGCATCTCCTTCTAGGAGCTCAGCCTGCCCTCTGCAGGACTACACATAACTGATCACAGCCTTCATCTGTTGAAGTATGACTTTCTTGCCCTCTTTTGGCCTCTTCTTCTCAACTCTGCCTGGCCACTCTGCCTGCCTATCCAGGACAGATGATCACTCAGATCTGTTCCTGGTCTTTTCCTCTTCATCTGCTTGTTCATTCTGGAATGTCTCATCTATTCCCATGCTTTTGGGGGCACCTCTGTTTCTATGCTGATGACACCCATACTCACACCTTTTGCACTGGCTTCTCCTGTCGGTATTCCATCTCCATCTGGGCATTCACTCAGGCATTTCAAATTCACCTTGGGCAACAATAACTGATTCTCATACTTTCTTCTCTTCCTATGTTCACTTTCTTATTTAAAACACTACGCTCCCTCTAAATACTTGGGCCAGAAATGCAGAAGTCAAGTATTGTTGTTGTCATTTGCTTATTGAACATCTACTATTTTCCAGGTACAAAGTACTTTGCATTCTTGATTCACTTTTTTTCCTTGAAAGAGCCTTCTAAAGTAACTCCTACTTCATTCCATCTTACAAAGCTGAAATCTAGGGTTCAGAAAGCTTAAATAACTTTTTAGTTCAAGATTATACAGCTAATAAATAGTGGAACTATTTTTTTTTAATTTTTTTTCCAACGTTTATTTATTTTTGGGACAGAGAGAGACAGAGCATGAACGGGGGAGGGGCAGAGAGAGAGGGAGACACAGAATCGGAAACAGGCTCCAGGCTCTGAGCCATCAGCCCAGAGCCCGACGCGGGGCTCGAACTCACGGACCGCGAGATCGTGACCTGGCTGAAGTCGGACGCTTAACCGACTGCGCCACCCAGGCGCCCCTAGTGGAACTATTTTTTTTATAATAGGATAGTCTGACTCCAAAGTCCATTCTGTTAATCTTAATCATTATACAACATTGACTTCTTCGTGAATTCTCATATATAATTTCATTGATTCCTTTTAATTTTGTCACTGAAATGTCTCTTGAATCAGTTCTTTCTTTGTTCCGTGATGCTATCTAGTTCAGACACACATCTTGTACATACTTAAACATTTGTATATAGGCGGTACATTTTTCTATTTATAAATTTGATATATACTGGCTGTAAGAAAATTCATCACAGATCTAGGTAGTAGAAGTTCCCCAACCCCAACTTCTAAAGATAACCACAATTAAGGTGTAGTATGCATTCCTCATTTTTTTCTATATATATAGAAGCATATTACAGTTTTTTTTTTATTTTTTTTTAAATTTTTTTTTTCAACGTTTTTATTTTTTTTTTTATTTTTGGGACAGAGAGAGACAGAGCA